CATACAAGAACTTGATTCCGATCGCTCAGCTTGTATGGCAGCTATATGCTATATTGAGCCGATCTGAACAATTTATTCGGAGATTACATTGTTGTGAATATAAATCGTCTCAGCTCAACATACTGATCATTTATATATATACTTTATAGGCTTAATAGGCGACGCTTCCTTCTGGGTGTTACAAACTTCGTGGAATTTGACTATAGTTATTAATTAATAGAAAATGGTGAATATTTAAGTTTCCAAGCAAACAGTGAAAACTATTTCCTTCACACTAAGCTAAGTATCAAACCATGTGCAGAATACAGGGTGTACACAAAACACGAAAAATAGTTAGTATTAAATAGCGTTGAATATGTACAATATGAAGAAATAATTTGAAATTGTTGCTTAGTTCATTTTTATTTTAAATTATTATTAAATTTTAATTGAAACATTGGCAGGAATGCTTATGTATATGTATGTATGTATGTATTATGTAAAAATGTATATTTTACTGTTGCGAAATATTTAGCTGACATCGTCACCCCATTACAGCGAGTGGCAACGACCTTGAATTATTCCTTTTACAGCGAGTGGCAACTGCTTTAACTGACAACTGGAAGTAAAACTGCTGTTCACAATAAACAACTTTCTCGCAGCGTTGTATTTCCCTCCGGATAAAGCGAAAAATTATTCAATAAACAAACTTTTATGAAATTAATATTTATTAAAAATTAATAATAATAGAATTTAAAAGTCATAACTACCTATTATGTGAAAGATAGTTTTAGAAGGTCTTCGTTTTGAACGCTAATAAGCAATGAATAAAATTGTTAAATATTTCGTGTTTCAAGCCCGAATTTCAAACGATACCTGAATGGAACAGTTCAGATTTGTCCGACAAGCGACGCGGACGCAGCGACGGAGTGTAACAAAAGCGCGACGGTGGCATTTGTGTGGAGTCGAGTTAAGTGGTGGCAGAAAATTGGTGAAATTAACCAAATTACAGTGAAATAATTGAATATAAATAATCATAATGAATGCAATTAACAAGTGAAAACCAATTGAAATACGTGTAAGTAATTGAGGCAAAGTTTAGTAGAAGTGTTTTCAAATCCAGTTGAATTCATACACATAGTTTTCTACAAGAAAAATTCAGAAATCGGTGAGAAAAACGAAGAAGGAGTGGATGAAAAGTGTACGCAAAACAAGAATTTTTGTGTACTCCACGAGCGAGCGCGAGTACGAAGTAGCGGCGAAGAAGATTGCCGTCGAGCCGTCACTGAAAATCAAAGTGGAAAGCAAAACGGGTGAAAAATAGTAAAGTAGGAAGGAAAAAGTCCTTAAACGAAACGAGGAAAATTTGTGTTTTCTGTGAGAGACAACTTCCAAAAGTATCAAAGTTACGTTTACGTTTGTGTTTATATGTATGTATGCATATGCGATTGTGAAAATTTTGAAAAGTGAAAAGTGTAGAGTGCATGCAAATATTTATCACTTTTGCAACGTTGGAATGCGCATTTGTGGCAGCAAATATAACGCAAAGGTTTGTGCAATGTATAGTGTTTAAGTGTTGTTGAAAAAAGCCCGTGGCAGCGTTAGTCGTGTACATATAAAAGGCGGCTGGAAAGTTTTGGCATTAAAAGAGCAATTTTCGAAATAAAATTCAATATTAATAGTTTGTGCAATACAAACGGCGCAACGAGAGTTTGTATCTTTTGGTTTTTCATGTCTCGACTGCTTTAATTTAGCTACATTGAAAGTGTATCTGTGTGTGAGTGTTGTGTTGTGTGCGTGCACGGATTATTGGATTATTACCTGTTTCGCTTCTTCTGCGAGCGCTGTCGGCTGCGGCAGCGTCGTCAACGCAGACGACGACCGACGACGTTCAGCACAGCGACCTGACATTTTTTCGGCTTTGCTTTACGGATTATTCGTTGTTGGTTGCAGTCGCCGCTTTGTACCTCTGATTTGTCCACAACGTTTTGCAGAAAGAGTATCAGCATCGCCATCGCCAACTCCATCAGCATTAACGGTGCAGCAGAGGCAACTAATGACCGCATTGCCACATTAAATGTAAATATTATTTTTATGTTAACATTTTTATAAGCGTTTAGTTGCAAGCTACTCCACAAACAAAAAAAAAAAAAAAAAGTATAAACATGCACATTCATGTATGCTTTTTGCGCTATGTTTTAACTTCATGTTTTATTTTAGTCAACGTTTTTTGGCTACTTTGTTTTCGTAAAAAAGGTTGTATTTAGAATAGCATCCCCCGATTTCGGAGTTAAAATGGGTATGGGTATGGGTATGGGATAAACCGCCTTTATCCGTACGTAACCATATATATGTACACCGAAACTTTAAATAGTTAAATTTTTTATGCAAATATTTCAAAAACCATAATTGCTATATTTTTTTCATTTATGCCTTAACTTTTTCACATTATGACAAATGCAATGAAATCATCTCTACATCTACTTTTAAAAAGGAGTAAAGATGAGCATTAACCAGTTTTACACTCAACAATAATTTAAAAAGTAAATAACGTGCCTCAAAATCGAAATGATTTCATAAACGAAAAATATTGAAATTAAAAAGCGCAATATGTTGTTATGTTAACTTAATTAGATCTGTGGAACGAATATTTGTTGCAATTATGTATTTAAGTATGTAGATAAATAGGTCGAGCAAAGCATTGTTCAGAGGAGGAAAGATTGTGCTCCAAAAT